GAATTCTGGCGTCAGGGAGACTGAACCTTGCTCAGCTCCTTGCCTCTGTAGTCCAGTAAGATAGCCTGTCACTCCATGCCACAGGGTGACCCTTGAAGGCCCACTGGGGTCATCCATGGAGAAGCTGCTCTGAACTGGTGATAGGCAGTCTTGGCTGATTCAAGACCAGGAGACAGGGTCCTCTTGTACTTTAGCCACCAGGTTTGCCCTGGTTCAAGCCAGTGCAGCTCCTGCTTGAGGATGATTACTGTGCTTTTAGGGGACTATGGGGCCCTTGTCATCATGGAGAATCGACATATGTAAAATCCCGATAGATGTTTGCGCAGGTCTTGGGTGGCTTCTGCCCAAAAGAAGTCCTTTGTGTGCTCAGAGACTCTTGAGTGACATCAGACTCTAGTCTGATGCTTTTCTAGTCTTGCAGCTTTTCCTCCCTGGGGTGAGCTGCCTTCTGAACTAGGGTATTCTTCAGGACTCACCAGCTCTATTTGTGGCAGAGGCACATGACCAGTGAAGACTGCTGTGCTGTTGAAGCTCATACCTCTTCTATGCTTATGGCTCATTGGGGATCTGCATCTTTACTTAAGGGTGGCATGGAGGAAGGAGGGGCGGGAATACTGGAAGCTACAGGTTGGGTTCTGCTTCCTTGGATCAGAGGTTTTAAGGCAGAATTGTTAAAGCCAGCTCTGGGGTATGTAAAGGAGCCACTAAGCAAAGAGCAGAGGGAAGAACATTCTGAGAACATGTGAAGGCACTGTGGCAGGCAAGAACCGGGCATGTGTGAGGGATGAGAGGAGTCCCGGATGTAATAAGCTCAGGGGATTTGGCCTGGGCCGGCATGCACAGGCTTCAAGAAACACGACAAAGAGTTTGGGTTTGAAAATGATTGAAACAGTAGAATGCCAGGGCCTGGTCTACTGTTTGTATTTCCCAAAAGAGCATGGCGACAGGTTAAGAGTGGGGCTTGGGCTCGAGATGGGGAGCCTGGTAATGAGAGCAATGTCAGGGGTTCCTGCAGCGTTTCTGGGCAGGCAGTGGATGGTGGCCTGGACTAGAGTGGTGGCACAGGAAGCAGAAACCATTGATCACCTCTGTTCCCTCAGAGTTTCTCCCCTGTCCATGGAGCAAGTGGAAGGACTCAGTGCTCACAGTGTAGATGGACAGAACCCATCAAGGAAGCTTTTAATGTTTGCCTGTGTTCTATTTCGTGTCGGTTACCTCTCTGTCACTGTGAAACTGCCAGAGACTCACAGCTTTACAAGATTCAGCCCATGGCCCATTGGCTCATTGCTTTCAGATCTGTGGGAGGCACCGCATTGTGTTCAGGGAGTATGACTTGCACCTTTCACCTCACAGTGGCTGGAAAGCAAAGGACAGGAAGAGGCGGGTTATTATATTCCCTCAAGGACATATCCCCAGTGAGTCAAGTCCCTCTCATCAGGTCCCACCCCTTGAAGGTCTGCCACCTTCATGTGATGAGGATGAAACGTGTGAGCCCCCAGGAAATGCCTGCGATACAAACCAGGACGATGTTGTTGGTTATCAGGACATTGTTATTGTTATAGTCACAGCAATAGATGTTGAGCATCCTCTGGAGTGGTGAGTGAATGAAAACAAACCATGCCATTGTTCCATCACTGACTAGGAGGAAGTGAGGATGCACCTGTCCATTCCCTGGCTGGAATGTCTCTCTAGGCCCTTGCAGGTGGTATGAGGGTAAGGGGTCTGTGATGGGGACCTGTTTGTGTCCTTGTCCTTCTGAGAAGAGGAAATACCTGTGTGTAGTAGGCATGGATGTGGCTGTTTTCAAGGGAGCCGAGTCACCGGACAAATAGGAGTAAGCGGAATATGCTCTAGACCTCTTACCTGTTTCCATGTGGCCTGGTTTGCTGAACTGCTATTCTGGGATTTTCTTGGGCACCAGAGCATCCATGGATATAGCCCAGTAAGGCTAGAGCCAGATCAGACTTAACCGGTGGCATCAGTTCAGCTGGCAGCCAGGAGGCAAAGCTTTGAATCAGCCTTATAATTTGAAAATTGGTCTTTGTGTTGGGTGGTGATTTTGTGCTAACAAAAAGCACCAGAGAAACAATGCAGGCTGCCCTACCTTCGTGGTGTTACTCTGGACTCAGAATCCTTGCTACAAAGATGGGCGTTCCACACTCCTGGGACCCCCTGGATGGTTGTAGTTCTCATTGTGAGTGCTCCTAGAGGCACGCCTAGAGCCTCAGGTCTGGATGGAAAAGTGACTTGGAGAGACCAAGGTCACAGTTTCCACAGCCCTCATGGAGACTGACCTTGGAGAATACACTTCTTACCTTTCTGCATGTGGACAGTTATGATGGAAGTGCCCTTTATCACTCAAAGGCCGTAGCAGTATTTGAAGATAACTGTATTCTTGTCCCCTGGCCAGGGACAAGTTGAAATTATGTTCCCCTCCACTCTCAGGCCCTTGCATATGTGCTTTCTCCAGATGGCATGTTCCAGAGGTATCCGGGTGTTATGAAAATGGCTCTCAATATAAATAAGGAACCCTATGGAGTATGAGGGTGCTCAGGAGTTCGTACAAGAGGCCTTGATATTGGTGGATCCCTTGGCTTGTTCAGGGAGACCCTGCCTTTTGCTTAAGGTGCCCAGGAACCCTTGCTGGTTTTTACACTAATGCTTTCCACCTTCGTCTTAAGAGTCATCCCAGAGCCCTAGCACTGCTTGGTTTGTGATATGAGGCACCTACTATGTGAACAATGGTGGTCCTCGACTAAAGGCCATTGTAATGCATCGATATGAGTAGGAAATTGGGGTGCCGCAAGGCTGCCAGTAGGGGAACATGGCTGCTTTTATAGATGTGGGGGAAGATCAGTCCAGGAGCTAAAACAGCATCCACTAAATTCTGCCAATGCCAAATAGAGTCTAGAATGTCAAGCTTGCATGCCACAGATAGAACAAAAAGCAGGGAAGAATTAAGTTACAGCCCAGTTTGCCAAACCAAGATGGAACACAGGGCCACTTTGGAATTGGTCACGCCAGTGTAAGAAAATGAAACAGGGATACTTTCCACTCTCAGTCACCAGGGAGGTCCCTGGGAAGTCACCATAGGTGTTAGTATTGGAGATGGTGCTCATTAAATATAGGTATCCATCACTTTCTCCTCTGCCCAGAAATACCAGGAGGTGCAGATGTATTCCTGGGCTGTGTGCACACACGTGTGCATGTGTGTACAGTGTTGAAGGAGCTGAGGAGGGAGGGGTACAGTGTGGCAGTTCACGGTGAGTTCTGAGTGCAGCCGAATCTTCCACTGTCTCATTTTGTGACCTTTAGTGAGTCATGTGCTCCTTTGTTTTCTTGTGTGTCGAATGAAGGCACTTATCTTGCCGCTGAGGAGAGCAGCTCTGCTTCAGCTGCCTTGACTAATCCAAACCCATGCTCTCGCGTTCTGCTCTGGAGTCTTAATAAGGAAACCCAGTTCCCAGCCTTCTTGGGACCTTCCTTACTTCGGCATCTATATATTGAGAGCAGGGCAGGAAATGACAAGCTGTGACAGAGGGGTCTGTTCTTCACAAGCCTGGTACTCTGGTAAATATTCTGTGTCCCTGGGGTACAGCAGCTGCCTGGAGCCACTGGGCAGAGCAAGGGAAGAGAGTGAGGGGGTGGTGTGGTGAGGTGAGTGTGCCAGGGAAGTGGGTACAATGGAGACGCTTTACCAGGATCTGTGGAATAAAGCGCAGGTCCAATGCTACAGACAGCAGACAACAGCTGTGCAGGTGGCTGATGATAGCTGGTACCAACGAAGGCCTGATGTGCTCGCCTTTCTATCCAGTGGGTGATGAGTGGATGGCATCTGTGCGTTTCTCACACCTTCCCCTCTGTCCACGGTAGACAGCGATCATCTACTATGATAAGCATTCCTCTTGTGCCCGGAAACGTCTCAGTATCCCTTCCTCACCCTTTTGGAATCTGATGTCAATCATTGGACTTATAGTTGAAATTTATTGCCTGTGGCTGTTGTGATGGGGAATACAGACAGATTTTGGAACCCGGAAAGTGTGCTGAGCACTGGGCAAGCATGTTGCTTGGCTCTCTTTTGATTGCATGAGATAACTGACACATCTTAACTGAGCAAAAACTAAGTTATTTTAGTGACTTAATCATCTCAGTGGTGGAAGAAAGTGGCTTGGGGAAGGCCATACCACAAAGGTCCCTATAACTCCCAGGAGTGCTCCCTGGGATCTCATCGGTATGGTCTTGGAGGGGGGCATTCAACATCCAGATCACCTGGCTGGATAGGAGCTTCCTTTAGCCCAGCCCCTTCCCTGACTGCGTTTGTCTTTGCTGTAGGAGCTCCAGTCAGTGTTGAGGGTATCCTCCCTGCAGCGTACTGTGTGTTTGCATCGTTGGTTCCTGAGCTGGTGTGCCACTCATTAACTTTTCCTTCTTCCTAAGTCCTATACCCCACCCTCATTTCTCCCTTTCCTTCTTTCCTTATAGCTTTGGAGTCTGTCCTGGAACTCACTCTGTAGACCAGGCTGGCCTTGAACTTACAGAGATCTGCCTGTCTCTGCCTCCCAAGTGCTGGGATTAAAGGCATGCACCATCCCTGCCTAGTCTCCCTTTTCTTTTTTAAGTAACCATTTTATTTGTGCGTTCTTATAAATTTGTTAAGGCCCATATGTTGCCTTAATTTCCCCTTCCCTTGTACTCTTTCTCACTATCTCAGTGCTCGGAAAGCACAGTCTCACCTCTTGTGTGCCTAAGTCAAGTCCGTGAGACCAAAGAGCAGAGCGACATGTTCACGGTCAGTTGAACTAAGTTAGACAAGGCCTAGAACAGATTTCCTGGCTGTAGTTCTCAGCATACATATTAGTGTTTTATGGTATGTCACCTCCCAAATTCCCGCAGCAGCCTGATAAAAAGTTGTTTTTTTTTTTTCCCCCAAAAATTGTGTCTAGAATCCAAAGTGCTCTTCTTTTCACCATAGTAACGGTAGCCTTTTTCTCTCGGTGCAGGTTCCAACTATGGGAGCCCACGCCCAGCTCATGCCAACATGAATGCCAATGCAGCTGCAGGGCTCGCTCCCGAGCACATCCCTACTCCAGGAGCAGCGCTGTCCTGGCAGGCAGCCATCGATGCCGCCCGGCAGGCCAAGCTAATGGGCAGTGCTGGCAACGCAACCATCTCTACTGTCAGTTCCACGCAGCGGAAGCGGCAGCAGTACGGGAAACCCAAGAAGCAGGGTGGTACAACTGCCACGCGGCCACCCCGTGCTCTGCTCTGCCTGACTCTGAAGAACCCCATCCGGAGGGCATGCATAAGCATCGTTGAATGGAAATATCCTTTATGCTCTGGGATGGCCGACGCGTTCCTTGGATCTGCACAGGAGGGGGGGGGCTGGCTTGCACTCTGGGGATATCAAGCATAGACTTGCGCTGGTGATGTTAGGTTTATCTTATATTTACTGCCCCACCGATGAAAGTTAGAATTCTCGACCTCCCAGCTGGACTCCATGGGTCATGATCTCAGAGGACAAGGTCCCAGAATTTGCTGGTATTACAAGCATCCCTAAACCAAAAATCCAAAATCTCAATTTTCCTAAAGTCTAAAACTTTTATAGTATCAACACAGATGGAAAGTTGTCCATTTGATCTTATGTGACAGGTTGCAGTCAAAATGCAGGCTCTAAAATTTGTGTTGTGTATAAGGTGTACATAGTACATAAATGAATTTCAAATTCAGACTTGGGTCCCATTCCCAAGATTTCTCATGAATCTGAAGAGATTCCAAAATCCAAACATGGATTTAAGCGTGAAACGCTTTGAGTCCCAAGCATTTGAAAGACAGGGCACTGGGCCTGTCACCAGTAACTTTAGAGAAAATTTGTATGTATCAGTGTGGAATATGAACTTGTATCCACTCTACCTGCCTCCGTAGTTTTCATTGTTGCTGCGTGCTGCTTTATAACTTTCTTTCCTATGGCATGGTGTAGCAGTAGCTCACAACCTGACCACCTTCTGGTGTGAATGGACCAGGAAATGCATGAGAACCCTAGGGCTTGGCAGTAGGAATTCTCAGCCTGGGCTCTGCACTGGAATCACATGGAAAGGTTTATCAAATTCTAGATGCCAAAGGTCCCACTCATCCCCAGACATTCTACAGAGTTCTCCAGGCCAGGCTCTGGGATAGCCAAGGTTGAAAGCATCATCTCAAGTAATGTGTATCTACTTTGAACACACAGGAAGGAGTGGAAGCAGAGGCCTTTAGGAACCGGGTCTCTTAAGGGCTGGAATGTTACCATGGACACAAGTCTTAATGTCTGAGTATTGAGTCACACTGGAAAAGACCTCAAAGCACAGCCCTGGCTATCACCAGGGATGAAATAAGTCACATGAAACTCCCCAGGACACGTGACCAGGAATAGACAGCATTAGATCCCTGACACTTCGTGCTAGGTATTTTTTTTTAAAACTCAAATTCAAATTTGAGTTAAGAAATCAAATTCAATCTTTTTTTTTTAAAAAAATCTTGATTCTTTCCATCTGGATGGAGTGTTCCTCTCATTTGTGAGTTTCTAGGGAAAGATTTAGAACCCTTGGGTAGTGGTTGGAAGGTGAAAAGAAGACCTGGGGTGCAGACAGCACCCATCGGGAATAACTGAATTCCTTTTCCAAAAGTAACTACAGCAGTATGCAGTTATAGCAGCAAGGGCTGCTCCTAAATTGTCTAGTCTGCTAAACTGCACATAGTCCATGAATGGGTGAGAAACTAGACTTGGTTAATCTTCTCAGGCTGCCTTCAGAGCCATGGAGTAAGAGAACTGGGATGCAGAGATTACTACTCTGAAGGGAGAGCAGGGAAACCGTGAGATCCAAAAGACTTCCCATAAGTTGGTTTTACATCCAGATTCCCCACAGTTAAAACCCATGCACTTCCCAAACTCCTGTGCTAAGTACTTAGTAGAGTGCCAGAGGACTAGGCAAGACTGGATAGTAACTAAGTAGTACTAGATAGTTACTAGATGCAACCAGATAGTGAGTTATTAGTTGGACAAGATATTTAACAGTTAGGACAAGGTAGTTACTTGGTGGTATCGGATAGCAAATTACTAGGTGGGACTAGATAGTAACGAGGTGGGACTATGTAGTTACTAGGTAGAAACGGTTACTAGATGGAAGTAGTTACTGGATGGGAATAGATAGCTATCAACTTGCATTCCAGTGTAGGTCTGCAGGACCCAGAATCCGCAGCCCTTCCTGGATGATTAGTGTGGCTGAACCTCCCGAGAGAGGGTGCTTTCCCACCTGGGCAGAGGGAGGGATGCAGCACACAGTCTTAGCTGTGTGAAAGCTCCAGACTGCCGAGGTCAGATGTGGAGAGAGCCTATGTGCTCAACAGCTCTTGAAGAGTGGGGCCTGGTGTTGTTGTCAGATGGACAGCTTAAATAGCGATTTGGTTCTTGAAGGGGGCATGATGCTTTCTGGGTGCTCCTCTGCATCTCACCTGCTCTCCCTGTCTGCTTGTTTGTCTTCTTGGCTGACAGAATCCTCCAGTGTCAGCCTGGGGCTTTAGTGTGTGGCAGTAGGTGCTCGCTTGTGCATATGTGTGCATGTAGCAGGGAGGGTAGGGGGACAGCCCTTGAAACACCCAGGCTTGGCTCTCTGACCTGTAGAGACAGTGAGGACATCTGACCAGTAGATATTCATGGGGCCTGGCTCAGTTGCCTTCCTGTACCCCTTTCTGATAGGGCACCGGACAGTAAGAATGGAACCTCGCAGCCTGGGCTGACAGTCACTGTTCTGAGCAGGTTGGGGTGTGGTTAGGAAGAGGGGCATGCAGTAGAGGGCCAGGAGTGCTAGCTTTCTGAAATACCCTCAGGGCCACCTCGTACAGACAGACCAGCACAAAGTAGTTTCAGAGCTGACTCAGAAGCCTACTCTTTGGGATGGGTCTGGGTCTCTAACTTGATGACTTCAGACACAACACAACCTCTGTAAGCTTTAGTTCTTTCCATTAGCAGTCGAGATTACTGTCTCTTTCCAGGTGTTTGGCAGTGGGACAGGGAGTTGGGGGTGGGGAGGCAATCACCACAAAGCCTCTGTAGGAGTGCTAGATCCTGTCCTTGCTGTCACCTCCCTAACACTAGCTCCTGTCTCCATTGCTCTTGGATCCTGGCCACCTCAGGACAGCAGGTCATAATAGTATGAACCTATTGCTTTGACTGGGCCCTGAGCCTGGCTTTGCTCCTTGCCTTCTGGAGATCTTGGACAGATGTGATGGTGGCCATGTTTGTAAAGGGGAGATTAGTTAGGCCCTGCTCACAGGTCATCTGGTGATACCAAGACACATGAGGGCAGTGGCTCATCTTAAGAAGCATCCTCAGCTCTGCACTGGGGCTGCTGGGGATTCATCAGGAAAGCAGCCGTTCAGATTCCCTCTGAGTGTAGACCTCTTGTCCTAGCCTAGCGGGCCTGTGACTCTAAGCATAAATGCTATGGCATGAGGTGACACTGGACATGGGGGCAGGAGATGGTTTGGAACAAGTAGTCTCTAGGGCATCTTCCTGCTTCAGAGTTTGCTACTTCTGTGAGAGTTTAGTTGGTCCCTTTTCCCTACAGTTTTCACCCATTCCTTTCCTCTCATTAGGTTCAGTGCTGGTTAGTTTTTTGTCAACGTGGCACAAGCCCAGGTCAGGTGGGGAAAGGGAACCTCAGTTAAGAAAATGTTTCCCTCGGATTGGCCTGTAGGCAAGTCTAACATTGTCCTGATTAGTGATTGATACAGGAGGGCGCAGCTCACTGTGGGCAGTGCCACTCCTGGACAGGTGGTCCTAGGTTGTATAAGAAAGCTGGCTGAGCAAGCCAGTAAGCAGCACCCTCTGTGTTCTCTGCTTCTGCTCCTGCCTCTGGGTCCTTGGTTTGAGTTCCTGCCCTGGCTTCCCTTTGCGATGGACTACAAGCTATAAGCTGCAGTGAACCCTTTCCTCCCCAGGTTGTTTTTGGTCACAGGGTTTTATCGTTGCAATAGGAAGCTAGTTAGAAGAGGCTCTGTGAAAGTGGCTGGGAACTTAGTTGTGGGAACCCAGATTGGGACTTTCTGTGAAGCCTCCCTTTCTTGCTTTCAGCGGTGGGTGTGGTATGATCTCTGCAGAAGTGTGCTGTTACATTAACCTACCGCTCACTGTGTCCTGCCCTGATGTTTCCATGGTGAGAGAACATCAGAGTATGCTGTTACTGGTGAGTGGACCCTGGGATGATGCTCTATAGCCCAGGCCATCACTACTCGTGGTAAGAAGACCCCTTGGTGGGGCCTCGTACACTAAAGACAGGGCCTCCGCAAAGCTAGTATGCCCCATTCCTCTACAGAGCCCTACCTCTGACCCCACAGAGCAGATTCTGCCTGGCTTTGTGGAGTCCTAAACCCTAGGGAGGTAGAATACTCTCAACTTTGCTTCCAAATACTGAAAAACAAAATCTGTAGATTTCCATGAGGGGTCGCTTTGTGTAAACCCCCACTCACTACTCTCCCTGCAGTGTATGTATGGGTCCACTGGTGACAGGCATGAGCCATGAACTGTCATGGAAATGGGGTTTTGGGGGGGAATTCTTCCTGGGGCAGACAGAGCTCTTTACCCCAAGCTCACATGAGGAAAATGAAATCAAATGTAATCTAAATAAATAAAAGGGGGAAGAAGTATTTAGAGATCTGTGTTTACTCTGGCACGCGACTGGCCTCCACTGCTCTTGACATATTAGGAAAAAATTTTGGCGGGGGTCCACTAGAAGCACTTAAAAGGCATATGTTTCTCTTCAGAATACAAGGGGCTTGGAATGCATTGTTTAAACAGAATTCTTACGAATCTTTGATTCATTAAAAAATATATAAATGTATGTTTGTTTCACTTGTGTTAACAGCGGCATTGATTTCCTTAACTCCTTTCTCAGACCATTTGAAATCATTATTTTACTGACTATTTTTGCCAATTGTGTGGCCTTAGCGATCTATATCCCCTTTCCAGAAGATGACTCCAACGCCACCAACTCTAACCTGGTAAGTCTGGAGCGTCTGCGTTTCTTACTACTTGTGGCAACTGAGCGTATGCCACATGGGTTCTGGGTGCGAGGTCGGAGAGAAGTGAGATGTGTGTTTGACAGGTGCCAGGGCTTGGCACAGCTCAGATCTTCGGGGCATTTTGTTTTTTATTCTGATCAGTACCTGCCTTACCACGGTCTACTTCCTGATTGGAAGACTGTTCCAATCAGGCGGCGATGAGCCGTGCGGGCCTAGGGGCGCGAGAGTGGTCGCTGTTGGGTGACGCAAATGCTCGGCCTTGAGTGCAGATGTTGGAGTGAGCGTTCTTGGATCAGCAGTTGTATTTTGAGTGCCGCTGTTCCATTGTGAGGCTTTGCTTGCGTGATCATAGCATCCTGCATGATTACATGCTAAATAATTTCTAGGAAGCTTTTAGCAAAGTTTTCTTTTGCGGCCAAGAGGTATCATTGAGTTAAAATGGCTTTATTTTTATTTCTTTTTAAATTTTTTTGGGAAAGGCGGCTTTCCATTTGGATTGCACAGAGGCCAACACTGGCAATTTGGGGTTAGAATTTGTCCATGGAAAAAGTGGAGAGTGTGTTTACTTTTGGCTGAGTGTGAAGTCATTGCAAATGCAAAGGTCTTTGCTGGTCTGGGCATGTGAGGCAAGCTCTGGAATGCACTTGGCAGAGCTGGGGCTGCCTGGAGAGCTCCAGCAAAAGCCTGCAAAGGACTCTCGACTTTCTCCTACTTGCGCCGAGACATTGGTAGTTTCCATGTGATTTTCCCGAAGCATGTTTGATCACCGAGCCCACTGTCTTGTCTGTCACTGGTGCCTTCTAGTTCGATGAGATTGGACTTGCTTGGGGTCTTTTTAGGAGAAACAGGAATGTTAGGGTATTTTCCTTCCTGTAGTTGTGGCTCCTGATGTTGTCAAAGGGGGGTTCCCATTTCTTGCGAATCTTCTGCATTTCCAGAGATTAAATCTCTCAACTTGTGGGTCTCGACCTCTTTGAGGGTCACGTGTAAGATATCCTGCATATCAGATATTTACGTTATGATTCATAACAGCAACTTTATAGTTATGAAATAACAATGAAATAATTTTTGGTTGGGAGGAACTGTGCTAAAGGGTCACAGCACTCGGAAGGTTGAGAACCTCTGGATTAGATGCACTTTTTAGAATTCGCTCCAATTTCCTCAGCTTTTGCTATTAGCGACAGACCTGTACTAGGGAAGGTGTTATGTCATGTGTATGGGCTGGGGTTCTTCTGTGTCTCATGGCTAGGATGGGGGCCATGTACTGGGGATAGCTTCCCAAGGTCCCCGAGATAGGCATCAAATACTGAATGATCGTGTGGCTAGAGTCAGTAGGCAGGACGTGTTCTCTGTAGTCCATGCAGCCCTGTAGGTATGACCTTGTTTCTTAACACAAAGAAACCTTTTCCATGTCAAGATTGTATGAGCTAAAGTGCCATCCCAAAGCAGGATCATTTCCCATTGGTTCTGTCTCTTTGAAGTGTTTGCTTCTCTCCTCTGCTGCCCTTCCTTTGAGCTCTTGTCCCGTCATTTAACCTGAGGGAGCTTCCGAAGCAGCTCTGGTTGGAACTAATTCATATCTGTTCTCAGACCAATGTATCCGTGGCTGGCTAAAACCCACAGCCTCTCTCTGTGAGATGGCGGCCTGGTAGGTGATAAGGAGCCAGCGTTGAACTTGCTCTTGGGGTGGCTAGACTCAGGAGACGATGGAGGGGTGGCAGTTTGCTTCCAACCACAACAGAGTGATGAAATGTTTTAAAACTAGAACTTACCAAAAAAAAAAAAAAAGAAAAGAAAGGAAAAAAAAAAGAAAAGAAAACCAAGTTGGATAGTCAACGTTGGGTAGATTTTATGGCAAGTTAATGATTCTTTGATGTATCTGTGGCTCTCATCCCCATTCTCTGCCCTGGAGATGAGGACATGTAACCAACTGGTTGGTGGGGGAGGCGGGAACCAAGGATGAATTTGAAAACCCTATAGACCAAACAACCAAGCCCCGCCCCACTTGTGGGCGGAAGTACTCTGCTGTGGAGATACCCTGGGAGTGCTGTGGCCTGGAGACTGCTCCTCCTTCTCTAAGGCATCCCTCCTTGACAAAGTCTTCACACCTCCTTTTCCCTCAGCAGTTTTGACTTGTCTTCCTCCATAAACAGGAACTTTGCCAGCAATTGATCCTGTGCCTCTCATTTTCTTTCCCTCTCTCTCCTTGATCTCATCTCTCTTCCCTAGCACAGCAGGAAAGCGTTTCCCTAAGTTCACCCCAGCATCTCAGTCAGCGCAGCCTTCTTGCCGCCTGATTCTGGTCACTGTGACGACAAGCCTAGCCATCAACGAGTCCCTGTCGGGTACTTTATAACTTCCTCTTGGCCTACAAGGCCCCACCACGGGATTTCACTTTCCTTTTCTGGCTCGCCTCCCTTTACTACCTCCATAAGCAGTGGTGCTCGCAGAGTCTAACACGGGCCTTCTGTTCCTGGTGCTCTCTGTCCTGCGGACCCTCCTCTCCCTCTTCACCTTCTTCCCTCATCTCCCCCCTCATCATGAGCTGGAGGTATCTCCATTCACATGTTCCACAGATCCTCACTAGGCCAGTCCCTCAGGCCCCTTCTGTGGGACCCTCCTGAAGTCCTTCTAGCTTATAACACAGTGCATACATATCAACGTCCCAAGACCACAGCATGCATGTGGTCATAAAAGTTTGTTTCCTAATCGCACCCCGCCCCCATCTCTGGACCTACCGTCACTGTCAGCCTAAACTTGCAACACTCATTTCCTCTTCACAAACACTGAGGCACAATCTCAGCATCTCACTCACCCTGCAAGACTCTCTCCTAGTCTCAGAGACTGAGATGCTGGGGTGAACTTAGGCTCTAAGGAGAAGAGACCCTTGGTCTGAGTGTGGCTTCATCTGTCTTGACCCAGCGGGTGTGTCACAGCTGCTCACGGAGGCTCTCTCTGGCCGAAACAGTCCTCTGACAAAAGTATTCACTGCCCTTGGAAAGAAGCTTGAGAATCCCCCCCAACAGGTTACTAGTTTGTCTTAGTAGAGAATTGCCATTTCAGAGTGCCGCCTTGAGCCCCAGCAGGGGAGAGACCAAACTGTGTCTGAAGCCAGGGTTCTCAAACTCTCTGACTTGAGAATTGTACGGCACCTGGGGACGTACATCTATGTTCCCAGACCTGCCCTGATTCTGAGTCTGGAGTGGGGTCCGTGTAGTCTGTATTTTTCAGTTTTTTTTATGCTTCTGAAGCGTGGGGGGGGGTATGCCTTGCTCTTTGTGAAAAGTGATCTAGAATGTTCTCTATTGTGTGAGTGACTCCACCCTCAGCTCCCTACACAGTTGGTCTCTGTCTACCCACAGCTCTCTCGAGGATCCAAACAGTAAGATGACACATGTCAACTGCTGGGAGGTCTCCCACTCTGCTTGGAGCAAGAGCAGTTTATTTAGCAAGGCATGCTCGCCCCAGTACAGAGCCTGTAAACTCACATGTGTGCCTGCTCCTAGTCTCGGTTTCTCTTACAGCTCTCCCAGCTCCCATTCATCCCCATTTCTAACACTTGGCTTACTTTTGTTAACAGATTACAAATAGTCCAGAGTAAAGCCATAGTTTTATTTTTAAGGTAGCTCCTTTGTCTAAGTGAGTTTATGTGGTGTATGCCGCATCTAGCACACATTTCCGCGGCCACATCGTCTTGGTTACCTTTTTTTCTTAGTACTAGTGAGTGAGTGAGGCTGAACTGGCCAGTGGCATGACATTTCCGTTGTTCCTAATCGCTGTCCTGTTGTTGACCATGCCACCCATGGTGAAGTACATCATTTATAGCACAGTCACTGTGAGCCCCACCTGCCGACAGCTGTTACTCTGTAGGTAAATTCTGCCGTGCCTGGCGAACAGCCTCTGCCAGCCAAGGGAACCTATTGTGTGTGCCGAATGCCCGGCTCTCTGTAAACCCTGAAGTTCACAAAGACTTGGCTGGAGTTGACTGTTAAGAGGACATGCTGGCATTTGATGTTTTGTGGAGAACATGTACCATGTGCTTTCTAAGCAAGAGGCAGACCTGAGTGCCATTAGAGAGGAAGGCAGAGTAAGAAGGAGAATTACGAGAGCCCGGCCTTTTCCTCTTCAGAGTTTGGAGGGACGAGCTTGGGACATGACAGTCCCATGCACTGTTGTAAAATCAGGGCAATTCACTGCACTCTCACCTGCTGTGAACGTTAAATGAGGTGGTTGTGAGAGGCGTGGGGCCATGCCCTGGTGTACTGGGCCAGCAGACACTTCCGTCCGTTAGAACTAAAGACTGCTACCCAGATGTCTGGGAGCATGCTAGGATCTGCAAGCCTCAGGGTGACCTCAGCCTCAGAAGGCGAATGCAGGAGGATGGCTGTGTGGCTGGGCTTTAACCTGGATAAGCTGATGCATAAGGAGGGAGCCTGGAAGGGACAATTCTGTGACCCCTCCCCCACTGCCTGCCCTGCCACCAGTCAGTAAGCTCAGGGACTCAGTGTGTCCCCATTCTTGGACATTACTAGGTTGAAGCCTGGCCTGCATTTTTGACTGCTCCAAGTTCTGAGATGTGATGCCTGCTGTCCAGGCCCGAGGAATGACTAACAATGCCTGTGTGCGTTTCCCTACACTCCTCTCAGTGATCTGCAGTTCATTCCGTAGTCAGTTTAGCCTGGGAGTGAGCTGTCTTTCTCTGGGTGGGTACAGCGACAACAATGGCATGACAAGCAGGTTTTCCTGCTGCCATCTGTGCGTCGTCCTAATTGAGCAGACGTACTGTGTCAGTCTACGAGGGCTGTAACGTACACACTGCGTAACCGCAGTCATGAGCCACAGCACCCCTGTTTGCTTCTGTAAACCTCCTCCTTCGCATAGAGAGGCGGCACGAGGCTGCAGAAGGCAGCCTGTTTTTAAGTGAGAGGAAAAAGCGTAGACCGGCACACACGAAAAGACAAAGACTTTGACAGAGCAAG